CCGGACCCAAAAAAAAAAAAAAAAAAAAACCAAGTATAAGTCATTAGGTGTGTTGGCATATTCCTGTAATCCTAGCGCATGTGGAGTATTGTGAGTTTGAGGCTAGCTTGGGGCTACATAGTAAGTTTTGGTTCTGCTTGGGCTGGTTCAGTAAACAAACAGTAAGAGTCACTTTAAATTTAACCTCTGCTTCCTCCTCCTCCACCTCCTCCTCTACTACCACTAACACCACTACCTCTTCCTCTTTATCCTCCTCTTCCTCCTGGTCCTGCCCCTCTCCTCTTCCTTCTTTTCCTCCTTTCCTCTCTTATTTCTGGACACTTGAGCCTTGTCCCTCAGCACATAGCATTTTAAGATACACATATCTTTAAATCCAATTCCAAGAAGTATTTATAGATATGTCTAAGAGTTGAGGGCATTTCTCCTTTAAGAATGAGGAGTATGCTGGATGCTGGTGGCTCATGCCTGTAATCCTAACTACTCAGGAGGCTGAGATCTGAGGATCGAGGTTCAAAGATAGCCGGGGCAAGAAAGCCCGTGAAACTCTTATCTCCAAAAAACCACCAGAAAACCGGAAGTGACGCTGTATGTAGCTCAAGTGGTAGAGCGCTAGCCTTGAGCTGAAGAACTGAGCCACAGTGCTCAGGCCCACAGTTCAAACCCCACGACTGACCAAAAAAAAAAAAAAAAGATTGAGGAGTATATATTACTCTTGAAATGTCACAAAATGCCTTTATATATTGAATTAATTTACAGAAAATATGGAAACTTGTAAGTTATAGATTTCATTTTTCAAGAAATTTTGGAGCACTTAATAATTAGCAGCTATTACAATAGTATCCACATTTGTATTTATGAAATCTAATTTTTGTTTTTAGTGAATTTGAGCTTCTTAATTTTTTATCATTATATTGTGGGTGAAGTTACATGAACATATTTATTTTCAATTGCAGTTCAAATTTAGCTGTTCCAAAATTGACAAGTTACTGCCCTTAGTGCCTGTCTGAATTTTCTTGAATATATACTTAGCTGAAATTGCTAGGTCATATGGCAGTTCTGTATTTGCCTTTTTGAAGAGCCTCCAAACTGATTAATTTTAATTTTTAAAAATTATAGTCATTTTAGTAAGACTGAAGTAGAATCTCATTTTGGTCTTGGTTTATATTTCCTAGTGACTAATGAATACAGAGTATGTTTTGTGTTCTTATTGGCTATTCGTATATTGTTTTTTGCCATTATTATCATTGCTGCCCCTTGAAGTCCTTTGTCCAGTTTTAGATTGCTTTTTTGTTTTTGAGTTGAGTGTTTAGAATATTGTCTATCTTCTGACTATTAAGCCCTTGTCAATAGATTTCCTCCATAAATTTTCTTTTTCAGTTTTTCCTTTTTCTTTTGGATGTTTGGGATCTTTTTCATGCCAGAAGTTCATGTTATATCCCTGAATGGCTTTTGTAGTCCTTCCTTTTTACTTTCCTGATAATGTCATTTGACCATAGACGTTTTAAATTTTGATAAAGCCAAAAGTCCAGTTTTTCTTTTGATGCCTGTGCTTTTACTATCATATATAAGAGGATTTATTTCCAAAAACAATCTCATGAAGTTTTTGTCCACCAAGAATGTTTGGCAGCACTGTTTGACATCTGCTAGGAAGGTACTTTACCATTTGAAACATACCTTAAGCCCCATTTTGCATTTTTTTAAAGTTAGAGTCTTACTATATGTTAGGACCAGCCAGCCTAAGCTATGATCTTCCTACTTGTCCTTTATTGTGTTACTGACAATGACCTATACCACTGGGTTTTTCCCTATAGCTGGGATAATAAGCACTTGCCACCATGATCAGCCATTGGTTGAGGTAACTGCAAACATGAATATCTTTTGTATGACTGTCAACATCTCTTTTAATGTGTTCATATTTACCCTTAATGACTTAAGCAGGACATGGTGGGGCCAGCTTGCCTCTGTTCCAGTGTTGACTAGGTGGCTTGTCTGTGACTGGAAGAACCAATGTGTTTGGCACCAGAGCTTGGTGGCTAGAATGCTTGGAGTTGGCTGGGTTCTTTGCAGTCTCTGGAGTCTCTCATTTTCTCCTCCCTCCCTCCATCTCATGTTGCTGGGCTTGAACTTAGGGCCATTTGTGCCATGCCTTAGCCTTATTTTCCAGGTTGTTTTTTGTCTGCATTTGGCTTTTCTCCAGTAATACAGTCGGCCAGTTGGTGTTCAAGGGTCTAAAATCAGTAGGTGTTGCTTCCAATGGCTTAAGAGTCGCAATGTTTTACTTCTGTTGCATTCTTTGGATGAAGTCGAGCTACAGGGTGAGTTCAGATTTAAAAGAATCAGGAGGCAAGTTCTGCCTCTTGGTGAAAGAGTAGCAGGCACCTGTAGAGATAGGAGGAATTACTGGCCTTCTACCACATCTTTTAATACCTAACAAATACCTAATTTTACCAAGTGTTAGGATTCAATAAAATTCGAGAACCACTGAAGGTGAGATCAGTGATTTTTAGAATGGTCCTTGAACCAATAGCATCAGCATGATTGAATGCTTGCTAGAACTGCAGATTGTCTGAACCCACACATAGTCTCTGTAATCAGAAACTATAAGGCTGAGAGCCAGCAACCTGTTTTAGAACAAGCCTTCCAGGCAATTCTTTGGCACTCAAAAGTTTGAGAACTACTCTTCTAGAGCAAACTGTGTCTTACAGACAAATATAGCTCCTTGCTTTTCGTTGTTTCTTTTCCCTGCAAATTTTTATTGGAACACTGCTACCTGCACTTATTTTGTATCGTCTATATCTAATTTTGACTTTAATAAAAGGGTTGCATTGTTGTGACAGACTATCTGGTCTACAAACCTCATATATTTATTACTATGAACTCCTTTTCAGAAGCAGCATGCTGACCTTTGCTCTTGAGGATTTCTTAATTTTTTCCCACTTTTGTGGACTGTATGCCATGACACCTACTGACACCTGTTTTCTGTGTTAGTGAAAGTTACTTAGTGATTTTTCTGTCATTGGTGAATTCTTCTCAGTGAAATGTTGATGAATGGGCTACAACCCAGCCTAGTTAAAATCTTTGGGTTAAGAACCTAGAATGAATTCCTCAACGCATTCATATATGTAGCCCAGTCTAATCAAGTGGCTTCTTTACTGATATTCTTCTCTGATTTCTGGTATGTCTGAAATTGTTCTAGATATTCTACATTTCTAATAAGGTGATAGCAGTCTATTTAGTCATCTCAGCATCTGTATATTAATATTTTCTCATATTATTTCATTCTGCAACCAATTTGGAAACTCTAGGATTAGAGCAATTTGTCTCAATCTTTTTTCTTTTGTTCTGGTCCTTGGGCTTGAACTCAGGAACTGGTTGCTGCCTCTGAACCTTTGTGTGCTCAGGGCTAGTGCTCTACCACTTGAGTCACAGTGCCACTTCTGGCTTTTTCTAGGTAGTTTATTGGAATGTCTCAATATTTATTTAACAATATCACCTGGAAAACTTGCTGAAAATATGGAAAGATCTCAACCTTCTACAAATCTTTGTCATTTGTGTTTTCTATTAACTTTTTTCTTTCTTTCCTCCACTTTCTTCCCTTATGGCCTTTCTCCTCCTCTATCTTCTTCCTCTGTTTTTTGGACAAAGTCTTGTTGTAGTCCAGGCTGGCTGTAAACTTTCAATCCTCTTGCCTCAGCTACTTGAGGACTGAGATTACCAGTGTGTGCCACAATGCTCCATACTCTCCTAACTTTCTGTGTGATTTTGATATAAATCTAAGCCACTGGGAAGCCATTAGTTTAGAGAAATTGATAATTACAGTAGAGTAGAACAAATAATAAGCATTTATTTAATACTTGTTAGTAATTTTTCCTAGTGATTGCAAAGGAAAGTCTTGATTTACTGTCTTTTCTGGTGTATCTTTTTAAAAATAGTATTTAACAGGTTTCCAACTTTAATGCATGATTTTGCACATATATTTATCAGCTTTTAGACATTAATGAACTGACTTTTAAAAGGAAGAAATGATTTTAATTTTAAATTGTAGTTCCATAATAACTGGTGATGTTGAATATGCTTCTCCCCATTCATATACCTTTTTTGGTAAAATGCTATTTTTAATTGTTTATATTATTATTATTTTAAAAAGTTTTTTTTCTAGCCTACATTCCATATGTATCTTTTCAGGTATGTTTTACACATATTTTCTTCTAGGGGTTGGCTTGCTTTTTCCTTTTTTGAAGCGACATCTTTTGAAGTACTATAGTTTTAAATTTGGGTGAATTGTGGGTGTTTTTTGTGTGTTCTTTAAGTGTTCACATAACCACAGTTCACTAAGATTTTATTTATGCTAATTTGTAGATGTGTAAGCCTATGACCCATTTAGAGCTAAGTTTTGAGATGTTCCACGGTAAGTGAACATCTTCCCTTCCATCCCCCTATATGGCTTTCCAGATTTTTGTTCCATCAGTCTTTGTTCATTAACTTATCCCTATTTATAGTTCTTGAGCTGAGTATATAGTATAATTCAGTGATTGCACACTTGCCTAGCAGGTGCAAGGCCCTGTATCCTAGTATTGATTTAAAAAAGGAAAAGAAAAACTATGACTTGAGTTTATGTGTAGGTTATTTCTGGACTCCATTCTGCTTCATTGATCTTTTGGCTATCTTTATGCTTGCTAGACAGGCATTCTATCCCATGAGCCATTCTCCAGCCCTTTTTAGCATTAGTTACTTTTTAGATCAGGTGTATCTCCTTTTTCTAGAACTGATCTAGATCATTATTTTCCTGCCTACTCATATTCACATAATTGGGACACAGGCAAGAGCTACCACACTCAACTTATTTGTTGAGATAGTTCCTACTAACTTTTTACCCTGACTGGATTTGAATCACAGCCTTCCCAACCAGCAACTCCCAAGGAGCTATGATTAGAAGTATGTACCTTGCTGACTGATAATTTTTTTTTCCTGTTCATCTTACTCTGCTTCAAACTAAGAATGAATTATTCTGTAAATTATTAAAGTACTTGGAATTTCCATGGAAAGTCCTGTGAAACTTAGCCACACTTAAAACCGTCCTTGTTAAGTATCATTTAAGAGGGACAAAAGAATTATTTTTATTTCTAATTGCAACCATCCTTTAACCTAAAGCACTATTTAATTACTTGAATTTCAAACATACAACATTTAAATACACAGTCTTCCCAAATAGTAACACTTGACTAGGGTGTGAGGCAGTTTTGTTGGAGTTTACATTTGTGGTGCTTCAATATATCAGACTAAAAAATATCTATTGTGGATGGGGGGGGATTTCTATTACTCATTTTACCTACTGAAGCCTGAATTACAGTAAAGGAAATTGGTTGCCTTTCTGTGTGAGAATTCTATTTCAACATTAAAACAGATTTGATTTTTTTTCTGTAAATAGAAGTTCATTTTTGAGGATAAAACTGGCTTAAATTTAGTTTTAGGTTCTTTTTAAAATTCTTACATATTTGATGGTCTTCAGTATGAAGGAATTTCGGTATTATTAGAATTGGAGTACTGGTGAAATGATGTGGTATTTATAGAACTACAGTAAAATTATTTGTTTACTTTTCTAATCACCCAATGTTACATTTTGTCTTTTAGATACTGTTTGACCAAACTCAGAGATCAATTAAGGCACAGCTTCAGAATTTTGTTAAAGAGTAAGTCATTTAACAGTGAAGAGCAAAGAAAAGTGACTGGTTAATGATGTCATCTGGGAATTGATATTTTTTGAAATTATGGATCATGAATTTCTGAAAATATTGGAGGTCTTTGTTTACTTTGTGATATGTGCATTGTATTTCTTCCTAAGTTCTTCTGCATAGGAATCAGATTTCATGTCTTTCATTGGATTTCTTATAGTTTGTTTCATGAGCATGTATTCAAATATATAGCTAGAGTTGTTATAGGTTTAATAAACATTTAAAAAATATACAGGGCTGGGAAGGTGGCTCAGTGGTAGAGCGCTTGCCTTGCATGCTCGAGGCCCTGGGTTCGATTCCTCAGCACCACATAAGCAAAAAGAAAAAAGCCTGAAGTGGTGCTGTGGCTCAAGTGGTAGAGCGCTAGCCTTGAGTTGAAGAGCTGAGAGATAGCGCCCAGGCCCAGAGTTCAGGCCCCACTACCGGACCCCCCCAAAAAAAATATACACAAAAATCTACTGGCCTTTTGAAATGAAACCCAAAGGTAGTTGAAATACTGTTAGGTATTGTAGTTGGAACTAAGTTTTGTCTAGTCTGGCTATGTTATTTTCTTTGAAGAGAAGATAGTTTAGAGAATGACTCACGGAAGTTCATGCTTTGTTATTGTGAATCTTTTGTGTCAGATTCATCATGTTTTGTAGTGAAATAAAAGTGAGACTTTTAAAAAGTCTAAACTTTCAAATGAGATAAGTTCCCTTTTTCACATTAGTAATTTTGTTTTTCCTCTTGTAATTCCTAACTGAGAATATAAAGAACTGAAGAAAAAGTTTATTGTGCTGTATTATTAAAGTTATACATATTATAAAACTGCAAGTAGTGACAGATCTTATTAACAACATAATGCATTTCTGTTTTCAGTATTGAGCATTAAACTCGGCCTCACACATGCTAGGCAAGCATTCTACCAGTGAGCTACAACTTTAGCCCAGTAGGTTAGAATTTCTCCTGAATATCAAGTTTCATAGATTGTTTCATAGGTGTGTGTGCATTTTAAGACTTACTTGTGTTTACCTTTCAACCCATTAATTTCCTCTGAGAAGATACAGATATTGTTCCCCTTCCCTTTGCTCTCTTTCTCTTCCTTCTCCCCTCCCCTCTCCCTTCCCGTCTTCCTTCCTCTCATCTTTATCCTCTCCTTTCCCCTCCACTGTACTCAGGCTTGAGCTCACTACCTTAAGCTCAGGGCATTGGGCTTGCTTGGCTCTTGTGCTCATGGCTAGCTCTCTACTATTTGAGTCATGCCTCGATTCTACAGTTTATCTGGTTGAGATGGAATCTTACAGACTTTACTGCCTGAGGTGACGTTGAACCTTGATGCTCCAGGTTCTCAGCCTCATTGAATAGTTAATATTGAAATCCTTAACCAATGGTGCCTGACTAATATTGTTTCTCAAAGTAAGGTCTGTAGACTACCTATAGAAGTAAAATCAAAGGTGTGTCTACAAGGCCTCTCAAATTTTTTGAGACTTGTTGTAGCACTTCCAAGTACTTCCATAATTTACAGAATGACTTCATTCACAGTTTGAAATAGAGTGAGATGAAAAGGAAGAAAGATCAATACTCAATTAACAAATTACAATCTTTAGGAAAATCTTTGGGAAAATGCTTGGAATTTATATTTTATACGGGTGTTCAAGTGGTGATTCTGTATATACTTCTGTTTAAAAAAATCATTTGGTTAGATAATGGTACATGTCCCTGATGTCATTAAAAAAAAACTTCCTTTTCCAGTTAATTGGATTATTTACATTTTAACTTACATAAATTTAAATAATGAAATGTTAGCTCACTGTGTCAGGATTTGTATATTCAGGTTGATCATCTGTAAGCCAAAAAATATGAAGTTTAAAATGCTCCAGATCTGAAACACGAAACTTTTTGAGCTCTGGGGTATTAGATTTTTGGATTTTGGAGTATCCAACCAGAATTCTAAACAAATATTACCAGATCCAAACAAAAACTCCATGATCTGCCCAAGTGTATCAAATAAGGTGTATTTAACCTGTAATTGAAAAATAATATAGTTTTGTTATAGTTTTCATTGCTCAGTGAAACAAATGACCAGAGATATGTTAGAATTCTGAGGTTATTTTGCCAAAATTTTCAAAGGCTCACTTATTTTTTTAAAAATTTTTAGGGATCTTAGAAAATTCAAAGATGCCAAAAAACAGTTTGAAAAAGTCAGTGAAGAAAAAGAAAATGCATTAGTAAAAAATGCCCAAGTACAAAGAAACAAGCAACATGAAGTTGAAGAAGCTGCAAACATTCTGACAGCAACAAGAAAATGTTTTCGACACATAGCTTTAGACTATGTCCTTCAGGTATCTTACATGTTTGAAATATTATTACTGTATGTATGGTTACCCCCATAAAATAAATACTATTAAAATGGAAAGGTAAGTATTCTGTTTTGTTTTTGGGAGACAGAATCTCGCTATATTATAGCCTAGGTAGGAATCAAACTTGAGATACTCTTGCCTTAGCCTCCCTAGTGCTGGGATTACAGACGTGCACTACCATGTTCAGTGGAAAACCTGATATTTTGTGGGGAAAGTCATCAGTCTTTTTGTGTGTGTATGTGTGTATGCATTTAGGCAGGTGTGTGGACACGTATGCCTTTGTTTTTGATTAATCTCTCTTTGTTTTCCTTCTTGTGATGACCATCCAACCCAGGGCCTTGTGCATGTGCTCTGACATTTTGCTACATCCCTAGCTCATGGGTAAAGTTCCCTTTAGGTGGCTCTGATTTTGACCAGGCAAACACTCCAGCTTGGTTGCAGAACAGTTCTTCTCTTCTTTTAACTTCTCTCATTTTAAAGTTGCTATGTCCATTTGATTAATACTTGATATTAGCCTCATGGTATTGCCATGTTTTACTGGCAATAGTAAAAAATAATTTTTAATTATTATAAGTGATAACTTATAATAGACTTTTTTGACACATTAAAGAATTCTATTGAAGGATAAAACTAGAGTTTGATTTAGGACCTCATCATGCTTGCTAGGTAAATGTCGTGCAACTTGAGACACTCTCCCAGTACAACCCTCTACCCCCCAGTGTTTGAACTCAGGTCCTTATGTATACTAAGCAAGTACTCTACCACTGAGCTTATACTGAGCTCTGTTGATTATTTCTTCATAGTAGATATTTAAGGCTCACTGTTATTACCAAATCAAACCTATTTCTAGAAATAGTGTTCTGATGTTTTGCCAGAAGGTACAGCATTTTCTTTTTGTACAGTGTGTAATTGAAACTAGTGTGAACGTGATAGATCTCCAAAGAAATTTGAAACTTGTGATAATGAAGGTAGAACGTTTTATTTAAAATGCGTTTGATGTGTTTTTATGTATCATGCATTTAGATGTTAAAAGATTTAAAGCTTACAGAATTGTCTTTTCTGAATCTTACTTTATAAAACTGCAGTGTTATCTCAGAGATTGTGGACCAACTTTCCCTCTCCCTCTGTCTCTTCTGTCCCGCCCTCCTTTTCTCTATTCCTTCTTCTTTCCTTTCTCCCCTTCAACTTTCCTCCCCTCCTTTCTCTTTCTCTCCTTTCCTCTCCCCTCTACTCCCTCTTCTCTTGTACAGGTACTGAAGCTTCAACTCAGGCTATTCTCACTATACTTTTTTTTTCTCAGGTCTTGTACTCTATGCTTTAGCCATACCTCTGCTTCTGGCTTTTTGCTGGCTAATTGGTGAAAGGAGAGAGTCTCAGGGACTTTTCTTGTTTTGAAACGAGATCCTCAGATATCAGCCTCCTGTGTAGCTAGTATGAATCTTTCTTTAAAAAGTCTACTAAACTGTGCAGAAATTAGTGATTAAAAACCACTTAGGTAACTTTGCAAAAAAATAATATGAATTTTGTTTTTTTTTAGTAAGTGGGAAGAGAAACATTTTTAAAAATACAGGCTTTTAGCATAGTTTAGTTAAGTCTGCCTTTCATTCATATCCTTTCCTGCTTTAGGATGAGTCATGAGCCTTCCTAACAGGACACTGACTGAATGACTTATGTAGGTCCTTATTTATTAGATATATTCTAGTTTTTAGCCACCTTGGCTCTTCTGCTCTACTGAAAAGATAGAACATACCTATGCTCCTTCTTGAAATATCCATTTGTCTTCATTTATCTGAAATTAGTTTCTCCTAAGTTCTGTTTTTTTTCAATTTGTGCCATGGGCTTTTCTCCTTTGTCTGCCTTTCCTTTTCCTTTTTAAGTCTTGTATTTTATTCTACTCTTTTCTTTATTATTTTCTGACATTTTCATCATGGCCCTTGTGTAAATTACCACTTGTACATAGATGACAAAATCTATTTTCTCTGAGTTCTATTTTCTCTGAGTTCTTCACTTTCATTTAAATAATAGGCTATTTGCAACCTCTGCTCTTTTTCAGATCATATGAAGTTAATGTTCGAATTCTCAAAACTGAGTAGGGTTTGAAACAGATGCACAAACGAATGCTTAAAGAAACATCATTTAGATTTATATTGGTCTTTTTTGTTTTCTAGTCAGTACTTTACCATTATAAGATAGGCAGAGAAATTAGTGGCATGGACATTAAGTAAGATTCTGACATTGGCGTCAAGAGTTTATGATTCTTTTTACGTGCAAACATTTTTTTTCATTAAATTGATATGTGATTACTGACAAAAAATGTTGAAAATGCAATTTTTAGAGATGAAAGATGCTATAAACGACTATTCTCTTAATTTATTGAGTTTTTTTAGTAACCGTAATTAAAATATTAGGAACCATTATTTTATTTAACAAATATTTATTTAGTGCTTACTATGTTTGCTTGGGGACTGGAGATGAGAAAAAGGCAACCTTTGGAACTTTGGAACTCAGGCTTTAGGGAACAATTAGAAAACATAAGGTACCTATAAATGCTGTGAGTAAACTTAAATGGGTATGATACTGTGTTAATGAGGAGGTGTTATTGAAGGAGAGACTTGATTAGATGAGAATAGCCTCATGTACACCAAGTTATAACCTAACAGCTAGTACAAAGTCACTAAGGGAACATCATGGCTAGAGCACAGACAGAAGTAATAGAAAACCAGGTCAGAGAGAGAGGGAAGAGCCACATCATATTGGGCCTTGTTGGTAGTTACGAGGGTTTAAAACTATAGGTAATAGGATTTTACTTACATCTTATAAATACCACTCTGGTACCTGTGTTGAGAATGTAATAAAGAGAGTCAGAAAGGAAGCAGAGTCTAGTTCATATCCTGTTACAACAGTCCAGAAAAGATATGATGGTGGTCAACTGATGAGAATTTGTATTTACGCTCTATGTAGAACCTTAATGTACATGCAGACAAGGAAGGTGGAGAAAATATATATACTCCTTCAGAATTCAAGTGTCAAAATAGTTCTATCACTACAACTTATAATTTTAATGGCCATATATTCCTTGAGATCAAAATCATTTGAGAATTTCTTTGGCACGTTTCGCTTAACTCTTTTGGGAAAAAAAAGAAAAAGGTCAAAAGATGAAAAACTTAGGCTTTACTTACATTTTGTTAAAGCCACTTGAATAAGCAAGTTTTACAATATTGTATTAGGAATTAGTTTTGAAAAAGCCTGAATAATTAACCAAATGTATTTTTCTTCAGATTAATGTTCTTCAATCAAAAAGAAGATCAGAAATCCTAAAATCAGTAAGATATTAACTGAAATATTTAAAAATGTTAATATGAAATGATACATATTATAGTAGCTAGTATGTATATATCCTCAGTTCATGATTGTTCTTTTTGAGCTTTCGTTTCTTATATCTTGTCTTCATGTTATGGTTGTGTGTATCTTCTTTACTCTGAGCTCCATAAAAATAAACTTTGTACTGATTACTTCTGTTTTTATTTTCTATTACTTTAATATATTCTTGCGCATATGCACTAGGTATCTAGTCTAGTTGGCAAATGACTGAAAATGATGGTTGTAAACATCTGTGAATATTTGTTTTGAACTTCATGTAGACAAAATACTAGCCAGGAACTAGTAGCTCAAGCTTGTAATCCTAGCAACTGAGGAGGCTGAGATCTGAGGATCACAGTTCAAAGCCATTCCAGGCAGCAAAAGTCCATGAGACTCTAATTGACAATAAAAACTACCAAAAAGTCAGTAGAGCTGTCGCTCAAATGATATCGTATTAGTCTTGAGCAGAAAAGCTCAGGGATACCATGCCTAAATCCTGAGTTCAAGCCCCAGTACCCACATGTGCATGCGCTCTTTCTCTCTCTCTCTCTCTTTCTCTCTCTCTCTCTCTCTCTCACACACACACACACACACACACACACACATACACACAAATACTATCACACTTAGGTTTTGAATTTTCTCTCATGTATAGTCACTAAAATTTTTTCTCTGCAATTTCATTTGTAATATTTATAATTTATATTTGGTTATATGCATTATTATTATTAGTTGTAGAGCTTGAATTCAGCATCTAGACACTGTACCTGAGGTCTTTCATGCAAGGCTAGCACTCTACCACTTTAAGCCATGGTGCCACTGCCAGTTTTCTGGTGCTTAATTGGATATGATAGTCTCATGGACTTTCCTGCCTGGGCTGGCTTTGAACTGCAATCCTCAGATCTCAGCCTCCTGAGTAACTAGGATTACAGGTGTGAGCCACCAGTGCCCTGCTGATTATATGTGTTATTTAGACTTTAAAAGTATTTAGGTTTGGGGCTGGGAAGGTGGCTCAGTGGTAGAGTGCTTTTCTTGCATGTGTGAAGCCATGGGTTCGATTCCTCAGCACCACATAAGCAGAAAAAGCCAGAAGTGGTGCTGTGCTCAAGTGGTAGAGTGCTAGCCTTGAGGTGAAGAGCTGAGGGACAGTGCCCAGGCCCAGAGTTCAGGCCCCATGACCGGCAAAAAAAAAAGGGGGAGGGCTGGGAAGGTGGCTCAGTGGTAGAGCGCTTGCCTTGCATACCTGAGGCCCTGGGTTTGATTCCTCAGCACCACATAAGCAAAAAGAAAAAAGCTGGAAGTGGCTCTGTGGCTCAAGTGGTAGAGTGCTAGCCTTGAGCTGAAGAGCTGAGGGACAGCGCCCAGGCCCAGAGTTCAGGCCCCATGACGGGACCCCCACTCCCCAAAAAAGTATTTAAGATTGAGGACTTAAGGTGAATAGTAACATCATATCTGGTGACATTTTCCCTTAAGACTGATTATGTGACAGCTTTTGAGTTTCTTTTGTGTGCAGTTACAAAACCAATGGGATGAAGTTGGAGGTTTGCTTTTATTTAGTCTCCCCCCTCCCCCGAATCTTTTTTTGTTTACCACTGATGACAATGATTTTTTATTTACCCCTCCCCGCTTCTTTTTGGTCTTAGGGCCAACAAGGAAGTAAGCAGGGAGATGGAATTATATGGCATATTACACTCTCTTTCTTATTTTGAGAACCTTCAAAATAATTTCTCCTCTTAATTTCTTTGCAGTTTTGTTTCCCTTAGGCTGTGCTTAAATTACTTTGGATTCTTGTCTTCATCTTGTTCTTGCTTTTTCTTAAATTTTATGTTAATCTTCATGTCATACCTTATTCGGTAGTATAATATAGTTAAGTTATACTTACTAATATATATATATATTTATTTCTCCCTCTCAGGTTCTCTAGATTGAGTGTAATGGGTGGGACTAATATTTAGTGATTACTTTTGTGAACAGTTAAAATTCTTTTTAAAATTTTCTAATTTTTTTGTTGTTTTTGAGGCAGTATCTCACTGTATAGCTTAGGCTGGCATCAACTTTGAGATGGTTGTGGTTTTTTAAAAAAAATTTTGTGGAGGGCTGGGAAGGTGGCTCAGTGGTAGAGCGTTTGCCTTGCATGCATGAGGCCCTGGGTTTGATTCCTCAGCACCACATAAGCAAAAAGAAAAAAAAAGCCGGAAGTGGCGCTGTGGCTCAAGTGGTAGAGCGCTACCCTTGAGCTGAAGAGCTGAGGGACAGCACCCCCCAAAAAATTTTTTTTGTGGAGTCATGGGGCTTTACCTCATGGCGTGGGCATTGTCCCTAAGCTCTTTTGCTCAAGGCTAATGTTCTACCACTTTGAACCACAGTGCCCCTTCTCAAACTCAAGATACTTCTGTCTCAACCTCTGGAGTACTGGAATTTCAGGTGTGCACTACAACCCCCAGCCTTGAGCAGGCCAAATTCTAGCATGTGACTATATAGGGATATACAGCTAGCTGGTAAATAACATAGGTGCATAGGCTATGTAGTCAACCAAGTCCAGGTAAGAAGAAAGCAGCAGACAGCCAAATATATAAATGAATGGTGATGGCTATTTTCTAGGAAAACTTTATATATGGGCATGAAATGTTTATACTATGTGTTTTTCTCATTTTTTTAAATGATTTAAAATCTAAAAGTCATTTTTAGCCCCAAAGCTATGACAAAATAGGTGATGGTAGGTCTAAATGTAGTTTGGAGGTCATAACTTGCTCACCCGAGATATACCATAAATTACCCTCATTTATTAATGTAATTTAAAATAATTTCCATGTTTTTTGTCATTGAAGTTGTTATAATGATTATTCTTATGTATCATCTGATTATTGCTAGGGTAGATTTATAAATAAGAGATTACCTATAAATTTTAACATTGAAAAGGAAAACTACTGTTAAATTTCAAGAGTGGTACAATAGTTTCACTACCAATGAGTGAGATTCAGTGAACATTTCTCCATTAACCTTACCAATAGTGAGTATTACAGTCTCCTTCCATGCCACTTGATGGATATAGATGGGGATTAATTTTGTATCTTATTAAGAACAATAAGTTTGAACTTTTTTTCTATTTTTGTGTCTGTTGGAGTGTGTCAGTTTTTCATAATGATAACATCTAAGATTATTAATCCTTAATCATGTGTTTTTTCCTAGTTCATCATTTTTAATATGTCTAGTGTGCCATTTTTTCCCTTTTTGTCAGTTGTGGGCTTGAACTCAGAGCCTAGGGCCTGTCCTTGAGCTTTTTTGCTCAAGGCTAGCACACTTCCACTTTGAACCACAGCTCCACTTCCAGTTTTCTCCACTTCCAGTTTTCTGGCGACTAATTTGAGATAAGAGTCTCACTAACTGCTTGGGATGGCTTTGAACTGTGATCCTCAGATCTTAGCCTTTTAAGCAGCTAGGATTACAGGCATGAGCCACCAGTGACTAGTATGTCTTTTAATGTATAAATGCTTAATATTATATCTATATATAAAGCCTATATATATATATATATATAATATAAAGTCTCTATATATAATCGTACTGTTCCTCTTCACTTTTATAATTCAATGTTTTTAATTATATTAAAAAACCCCTGTTATTATTTAATTCTAGCATAATCTTTGTGTTGCATTTAATCAACCATTATTCCAGAAGCTTTTTTTGTAGAATTACTGAATATTATGAACCTTCTTTTTAAAAAGTATATTTTTATTATCTTTAAGTTATTGTACAAAGGACTTTCCATTCAACAAAGCAGTTTAAGAAACTTTGACCTAATTTAGATATTAGAGAAATAGATATCTTATTGCTAAAAATAAAATCAGTATCAGACAATTCTTTCAATATTAACATTTAATTGTATATTTCCTTCCCATATGAGAACTTAATAAAAATAAGTGACTTTTTTTCATAAATGAGTAAAATACAAAAAAAATCTGGGAAAAAACTCAACCCTTAATATCCTTTTTGGAGTTGGGGAATGAATATAAAGAAACTTCCACACTGGCAAAGTGTTTACTCATTATTTGTAACAACAACAACAAACCCCAAATGATTATATATACTCCTATTTTAGTTTTTACTTCGTGATCTAGTAAGCTGCAGAGTGAGTGGTTTATGAGTTGTTGAGAGTTTTATGTTTCTTCTCTTAAGTGTTACTTCCTTACTTCCTTAGTTTTCTTGGAACACAATATATCTCAGAATACCTAAGATGATAGTGTGGTTGCTGAAAATGTGGTTAGTTCATATCATCTATATCAATTTCTATCATCTAGATACAGTCCAAACAACTAAAATTTAGGTCATTGTTAATTTAAAGTTTAAGTCAACAAATTAAAGAATTTAAATTTAACTTTTAAAATTTAAAAAGAAATTATTTTTTCCAGTTTTTTACAATTATCACATGCACAAAAAATTGCTGTTTAATTTAAAGTAGATCTAATACTTTGGACTCTTATGGAAAAAATTTAAAACATTAAACAGGATAAAACTTTAAAATATTGACCTAGGAATTTTATATTTTATAAAATTTTCAAATATTTTTTTAGGAATGGGTTTAAAGTTGGTGATCTTTTTCTCCCTATTAGATGTTATCCTTTATGTATGCCCATTTGGCCTTCTTTCATCAAGGATATGATCTCTTTAAAATTTTCAAATATTTTTCTAGGAATGGGTTTAAAGTTGGTGATCTTTTTTTTCCCTATTAGATGTTATCCTTTATGTATGCCCATTTGGCCTTCTTTCATCAAGGATATGATCTCTTTAGTGAACTTGGGCCCTACATGAAAGATCTTGGAGCACAGGTAATGTTGAACTATATTTCTTGATTTTATATTAGTTATATTTTAAAAGAAATTTATCATGTTAGCTAATTTGATGTTTCATTTACTTAATGAAAAATTCAGCAGTCTAGTTTATTTATCTATGGGCTAAATATATTTACCAAAAATGATAGTAAAGGTAAAAATAGCCTATCTTATAGATTTTATATGAAGGAACCAAAAACTGTGTGGCATATATCTGTGATCCTATTACTCAGGAAGCTGAGACTGGATGCTTTCAGTTTTGAGACTGACCAGCCAGGTCTACATAGTAACTTTGAGGCCAGTTTGATCTACATAGCAAGATTCTGTCTCAAAACATTCCCCAATACCCATACACAGCCCCTACACATGCAAAATTTATTTTTATAGTACATGTTACTGGATTTTTCTAGTTTCTTACATTTGAATAATTGAGATACTGTCCTAGTTTGCTTTTCATTTGAATTATAGCACATTTCTATTTTAAAAGAATTTCATTTTGCTGTGTTGATAATGAAATTATAGCAATTTAGGACAATACCATTTTTATGTCCTTTTTCATTTTATACAGAGGCATTTGAGTATGTGTCTGTGTGATTTTATATTTAAACATATATATGCATATATGTACACACACACTGAATACACATAGACATACACAAGAATTTTATATATATGAATTTCACCGTGTTCAAATTATTTTCCACATCTGAGTAGCATTTTGTAGTGGAACTTTCCTCTTTACTCTTTCCCCCTTCTCCCCCTATATTGAGATTTGGGCTGAGAACCTTGTTCATGCTTGTCAAGTGCTCTACTGTATCCCCTTCCTGAGAACAGGATGGGGTCATTGATTGATAGGTTTTCTTGATTTAATATTGTCAATTTTTAGGTAGTTTTTTTTCCAAGGTGGTTTATTTTTTGAGGCATAGGAATAAAGGATGGAAAATAGAATTAAGGAAATAAGATACAAATGTAAATGGATTCAGAATTGTGTTTACTGATCAAAAAGTGTATGTAGATGGTGTGTGTGTGTGTGTGTGTGTGTGTGTTTTGAGCTATTACTGAAGACATATGTTTTTAATTACACACACACACACACACACACACACACACACACACACACACACACACACACACACACACACACACACACACACACACACACACTCTTCTGGGTCTTTTGGTCTCTGTTGAACTTGATCTATTAAAAGAAACCAGCAAGTCACCAAACTGTTAATCTCTGTTAAAAGTCTGTTTGAAATCAGTTGAGATTGTGTTTATTTGCAAGTGAGAAAACAGAATAATGATAGTTTAAAAAGGTAGAAATATAGTTCTTTTTTTTCTTAATAAGTTTTGTATTGTGAAAATACCATACAGAGGAAATATAGTTCTTCAATGTAAAAAATACAAAGCAAAATATTATGACTATTTGACTCTCAAGAACTCAAGCTTGCTATATCCTTTGAGTTTGTTTCATGGTTCAAAGTAGCTAATAAAGCTCTCACATTCCAACTAGCAGGAAGGAGGAAAGGGGAAAGACACATTCTGTTTCCTTAAGGACATCTGGAAATTGTATGTTATTTCTGTGTACATTCTAACAGGCAGTGTTAGTCACAGAGTCATACACACTTCAGGGAAACCTGGAAAATACAGCTTTGATGCCAGAATGTGGTCTGCTAAAATATGACCTTTCTGGTCATGAGAACAAGTAGCCTTATCTACCACTTAGAGAAGGGTCAGGGTTTTGTAGAAATCAGTAGATAGCACATGTAGCCCAGTCATGGGGGAAGGTAAGACTTTTCTACGTGTTTTTGGCCTATCAAACATTAGATTACACTCTCATTTTAATATAATTTGTAAATCAAATTGCAATTGACTAGTTGAAATATTTATATATCTTAAAGTTTTATTAATTGCTTTTATAATATTTTCCCCCCTCCAGATGTCAAATATGTTTTCAGGCCTTTGTAATAATTAATAATGCCCATAGTGTTTAATGGATACTATATCTTTGCTGTAAATAGCTAGTTAGGATTTTTGTTAGAAATGTAGTTGATAAATAATAGAATCTAAAACTCTGGAGTGATATTCATTTATTGTTACTATTGTGAGATTGGGTTGTCTTCTTGCTGTGTTGCTTAAGTGATCCTCTTGCCTCAGCCTCCCAAGTGCTGGGGATATAGGCATGTGCTGCTGCCACCCAGCTCATGATTTTTTTTTTAACTATCTTTTATTTGGTCATTTTTTCTATATTTAGATTTGATTGTAACAGCCAACTTGAAGACTTGAAACCTCTTGAGTGATAGGAAGTATCTGTTAATATTAACTTGTGAGGGTTGACTAGACTTGTTTAGCTGAAATACCCTTTGCCATTTGGGGGTCACCAGTGTCTCCTCTTGGTAACTTCGGTTGTAACTATCCAAATTTGTGGAGTGAGTCAGCATGCACCTTAAGCTACAGTCATTTTCCTTATTCAGGGATTGAACACATATGGCTGACATTCCCAAGACAAGGCCTCCTGCCTTGAATGCTTGGCACCATGATTGTTCTTGGAAACCTTCTCCCTAGAGCAGGCATGGACCTTTTCCAAGAGGGATTAATACCAGAAAGAAATATGAAGTGTTTTTAAGTTTAGCCAAAAGGACTTTTTATGCCTAACTTGCAAGTATGCTTTGAAAAAAAATGCTTTTTTTCTCTGATTTTTAAGTTTATATTTCTCCTTTTCTAGTTGGATCAACTGGTTGTAGATGCAGCAAAGGAAAAAAGAGAGATGGAACAAAAACATTCCACTATTCAACAAAAGGTACATGAGGGGAAAAGTTAAAGAAGATTAATTTTCATTTTACTAAATTAGTTTTGGTTTAAGCAAGGTACCATTGTGTTATAACAAATCATTTCAGTTGTTTAATTGCATGGTACAAATAAATGTCTTTTTGTGGAAAGTAGGATATTTTTCAGATGTTAAGGTATGTATTTTATTATTCCTTCAGATCAAAATATTTGAAAGCCATGTTCTTGAAACAGTTTATAAAAAACCTATTTTAAATACTATTCATAGTTTCATTTAGGATGCTACTAATATTTTGTAAATGTATGTATGTGTGCATCTGTGTAATAAAGAAGAGACAGATTAAAGTGAGCAATAAAAGAGAATGATGATATGAGGGAGATAAAAGAGGTAGAGAGAGGGAAGACAGTGAGAGAGAGATTGATTGTGAGCACATGTGCCTTGGTGACAGTGTTACCCATTTCCCCGGTGCACTCACTTCAGAGCAACACTCCTTTCCTTCACAGTGGTGCTAAAAGGTGTGATTTGTTAAAATGCCCAAGGCCAATTATACTAGCTTTCGGAAATTGCTTTTAAGAATGAAAATTCAAATATTAAGCTCTTTTTTTCTTTATAATGAATTGAGTGTTATGTCTGAAATGTAATATATACTATATTCAATATATCTTAAGTAGTGGATTTTTTTGTGCAGTAATTTTTTTTGGGCGGGGGTCCGGTCATGGGGCCTGAACTCTGGGCCGGGGCACTGTCTGTCCCTCAGCTCTTCAGCTCAAGGCTAGCACTCTACCACTTGAGCCACAGCACCACTTCTGGCTTTTTTCTTTTTGCTTATGTGGTGCTGAGGA